TTACATTTTTATTCTCATTTTACGTAGAAGGGTTAACCAAAATTGCCAATATACATTTAAAAAAAAGACTTATATATGTTAGTCTAACCCGGTCTCAAACAACCAATGTGAGACCAAATTCTCACAATCTCATATCATCACACAACATGAGCCACCATATGGAATAAATCAGGTCAAATGCCATACCCATCTCCGTGAGGAGAGAAAATCATGGTTCTCGCCCTTGCTAGAGCTCATGGTAGGGGGAGATACCTAGTATAGATGACAACTTTTTTTGATTAACTTAAAATGAAACAACAAGGTGTAAAACACAAATGAATCAACTGCGATTAAAAAAATGAAACAACAATTTATAGCAGGAGTGCTCAAATAATGAACTTCAATACATACATATAGTCCAATGTTACTATTTTAGCACAAATACACGATTACAAAATTAATTTTGGGAGACGACCTTTCCTATTTCTACTAGAGGCGACCACAAGCATGCCTCCCAACATTTTTAGAGGCGGGCACCTGAACAGTCCACCCATGAAAATAGGAGTCCGGGGCTCCAGGCCATTCTAGACCCAAACGAAGCTCCTTATGACGTCTCATGTTCTCATTGGTTCTCGCCAAGTTCCTTTTCTTTCACCAAGTCATTTTTGACACAAATGTTGATTGGCACCTCCTAAGCAGGGCCGAACTTCAACCAAGAAGGTGGTGGAGGCTATAGCGTCCATCAACGAGAAGCCCACGTGTGATCCTCGAACTGCTGAGCTAGCCCGGCGTTGCACTCGGAGTGCATATAGTGGAGGAGACCTACACACTGCGCGTGCACACACCAACAACAAAGCGTATTTCATTTTCTCTTACATTTTGTTTGTAAACCGTAGAAAACATTGCATGTAAAACATCTATTAACACATAGACATGAACCCTCTACGTCTTTGATTTTGATGATGAATATTTTTGAACAATTTTAAACATTTCATGGACTTTTTTTGCTTCTGTTGTAACGCCAAAAAAAAGTAGTTAGATATAAAAGCCTGTTTGGAAAAGCTCTATATAGTTGAGATTTACGATAGAGATGCATGAAGCCCTACCAAACATAACAACTCCAAATTGAGAGCGTTGCAAAACACAACAACTCTAAACTGGGCGTGGAGCAGCAAATCTCTGGATGGCTCATCTCAAATGCGTAGTCCTCTTTGGTGGGCTTTGAATTCTCCAAAAATTGTGAAGCCAGAAAAGACACTTTTTTTTTTACTTTGCCTTCTAGGCCAAAACGGCACCACCTTTTTTTTTATCTGGTTTTAACTTCACGATATATGTGCTGTTAAGCTGGTGATAAGCCATGGTGAAAAAATCTTTGTTATCGATTTGTTGTGAGAAAAAAATACTATTCATTGGCTGAAAAAGTACGGCTTATAAGCTAAGCGAACAGGGCTATGAGTGTTTGGTAGGGCTTCTTTTAAGAAAACCACATAAACTAGAGATGAAACCAAAGAGAAAAATAGCGGGCTATAGCGGCGTAGCGGCTGGACAGGGTACGCGCTATAGCGCCGCTAAGTTGCATAGCTTAGCATTTTAAATAGCGGCACTATTCCAACAGGGCCATATGAGTGAAATTCTGGCAGCCTGCTAAGTCCACTGAAGCCCAAAACCAATGAAACCAAAGAATGCAAGAGGGCAAGAGATGAAGTTAACTTGGATCATTCAGGGGGAGAAGCGTCAAGTGAAGAAGATGATGGTAATTATGCTGCTGCTGTTGTTCACTCAGGGAGAGCTGGAAGCGCAAGTAGCTCCAAAGGTGGCCCTATGGAGAGGTTCTGCAAGTCCACTCCAGAAGAAGTTGTTGCTCCAAAGGGAGCAAGCACAGGTGCACTCAAAAGAAAATGAGCAGATTGCTTCATGACAGGATGAGTGACCTTGTGTATGTAATTTAACTCCAGGCTGAAGCATAAAGAGAGAATAAGACAAAGGACCCAATTGAGAAGCAAGTTGTAGATATTCTAGAAGACGATGACAATAAATTTATCAATGGAGTTGCACTTGCAGCAGATGATGAACAAGAAGAACCAAAAGACCCCCAAGCTAAAGGTGAGAAAGTACCGGAACAAGAGGCTGCACCAGCAGAACCAGAACATGGTAAAAGGAAGAGAGTTCCCCGAGAAGAGGGTGAAGAAGATCACATATATTAATGATGGCAAACAATCTGTGCCGGAGATTGTAGCTGCTTCATCTTGTGATACAGAAAATGATGACGATCAAGATGTCAACATGCATCGTCAGTCTGGAAGTGACAAATGTTCTCAATCTGACTCTCAGAACTCCATCTCAGACTAGATTATCAGTTATCATTTGCTACTAATTTGATATTTTGGACAATTAAGCTTTCATAAACCATGTTGTAATGTCATATTGGTATTTAGTAATGTTACCTAGACTTGTGGAAACATATTTGTGTTCATTAAAATTCATATTTGCCATTTTTTTTCATCAATCACTGATGTTTTCCATGTATTTTCTATAAAAACGTTATCTGTCATAGCGTCACTATAACTGCATAGCTGCTGAAAAAAAAATTCCCGCGATTTTAAACTTTGTATGAAACCTCTCTAGAAGCTATGCCAAAATGGTCCCTATACAGTTGTAAAAACGCAGCTCCCGCGCATAGAGATGTTATTTTAATGGAAATATAATACCCATACCTGCACAAAAAAAATTAGAGGCTTTTACCCGTGTGCCATTATAAAAGTTGATAATTATCTACGAGCCATTAAAAAAGTTGAGTTTTCATAGGTGCCACTACTGTGAACTCTTTTGTCCTCCACGCCACTTCCGTCAGATTTTGCTCTAACGGTGTTAAACCGCGGTTGTGAAAAGTCCAAAATACCCTCATGTCTGAATATACAATTAATTTTTTTGAGCATCTTAATGACCTCAAATGAAAAAACTCAAAACTAGAAAGTTGTAGATCTCGACAATATCTATAATTTTTGTATAAAAATTATCTTCATTTAATTCTGAAAAAAAATATGATTTGATATTATTAATGTCTTAGAAAAATCATATTTTTTTTACGGAATCAAATGAAGATAGTTTTTATAAAAATATTGTAGATCTCGACGAGATCAAAATTTTTTAGCTTTGAGTTTTTTCATTTGAGATCATTAAGATGCTAAAAAAATTAATTACATATTTAGACCTGATGGTATTTTCGACTTTTCACATCCGCAGTTTGACACTATTAGAGCCAAATATGACAGAAGTGACGTGTAGAGCAAAAGAGTTAAGAGCTGTGACATACGTGAGAACTTAACTTTTTTTTATGGCTCATGAATAATTACCGACTTTTATAAAGTAAAAGCCTCTCACAGTTAATCCTGATGCCTCCCCTCGCTCGGGTTGAGGGACCAGAATATGGTGGTCCTCGTCGTGGTTGCTGATCGCGTCGACGCACGCTGGACGGACGGGCGGGCCGCCGTTGGTCGACGAACTCCCGGGTACAGGCGTACAGCCGCCGTCCAGCGAAGCCTCTGTCGCCGACTCGCGGGCGGGCACTCCGCTCCGTCCGCTGCAGCAGCCAGCCAGCTAGCCAGCCAGCAGGGAGCCCCACCGGGCCGCGGGAAGAAGTGGGCCCCACCGCGCAGCGTCACGAGAGTGGGGCCGGGTAGGCGTAACGACGAATCCGGCACTCCGAACCACCGCATCCGTCCTCGACTGCTCCGGTCGCCTTCCGTCGCCTACTCCCCTCCCACTCCCTCCCTCCCTCCCTCCCGTCACGTCGAGGCGACGGGGTCCGACCGAGAGGGATGCCTCGCCACCGCCGTCGCTGTCGCTCCCTCCCTCCCCGCGCTATGGCACCGACATCCCCGCGCTGAACGAGAGCGAGCCCCGGGGGGTCGACCTCCGAATCCGCGCTACCGTCCGTCCCGCAGGTGAGCTCGTCTCCTTGCTGCTGCTGCTCGCTCTCCGCCAGGCCCGGGGTGTGTGCCGATGCTCGTGTTCCCAAGCAATCCCCGCCGTGAAATGCCGCCGGGTTCCATGTCGATTTAGGCGCTTCAGCTTGCTCATCTGCTTTCAAGAGTACCCGTGTTCTGTTGCGAATTATCCTTCCTTCGATTCCGACCTCCTCGCTCCTCGGGTGCGCGGTGCGCTCCTGCGTGCATTCCCATTTCCAGCGCTGTTTGGCGTGCGTTCGCCGCTAGTGGGCTCCAGGGGGCGCCATTGCTGTTCCAAATTCGCAGTCGGCGCCGACGTGCGTGCGGCCGAGCGGTCCAGCAGTCGAGCCGCGCTAGCTGGCTGGACGGCGCGACCCCACGCCCGCGGCCAAGCCCAGGCCGAGCGGCGCCGTCCCGACGGCCTACTGACTGGCGGCCCAGATCCACACGGCGCACGGCGAGGACTCCTCACTCTGACTCTCTCCCTCAGATCCGACCGAATTGGAACCCGTACCAACGGCCAATGGGGAAGAGGAAGGAGACGACAGACCTTCATTCCAATGGTTGGTTGCTCCGGGCGGTGTCGGGAAGGGCTTAGTAGTGAATCACAGTATCAACCCCACTGGTGGGGAAAGGCAGCCGCTTCTGCTGAACATAAGGCAGCGTCAATGCCGCTAAAATTAGGGTGTTTACTTTGACACATGCGTAAAAGCATAGTGACCATAGGTTGTGTTTGCTGTTTCAAGCTCCCTACAGCGCTGTTCCTCTTCCATGCTTTATTTAATTCTAAACCACTTCATTTATCCATTAGGCTACTAGTGAGCATATTTCGATGGTAACCGATGGCTTGCCTGTAGTTTTAAAATGTGATTTCATTGCCTGTTTTGTTCACCAGTGCATGAAGTGGGCTGATGTAGGTTGACTATGTCGTTCGTTGCAATTTAACTTATGCGTATATTGGCAGTGTATGCTTTTCCTCAACTTATGTGTCCGTACTTGCAGTGCAGTTGAAGACGAGGCAGCTGTTCTCTACTTAAGGAAGAGATGGCCCATGTTTTGTTCAAAAGCAAAGACATGGATGGTGGCATGTCCCGATGGTCCGAGTATCTAAGTGTTGAAGAACCAATTCCTTCGGCATTGGCAACCTGGAGGAACATGGGTGTTGATGGGCCGCAAGGCTCGTCTGCCAGTGGCCACAAACATCTTCAGATGGAGCCGGTGGTTCAACTGTCAAAGGTTGCGGAAGGCTTGCTGGCGAAAATGTACCGGCTGAACAGCATCCTGGACTATCCAGATCCAAACACGCACACATTCTCAGATTCATTTTGGAAAGCTGGTGTCTTTCCAAATTTCCCAAAAATTTGCATCACGCTGTCAAAAAAGTTTCCTGAGCATCCAAACAAGCTGCAGCTGGAACGGGCAAGGATTCAGTTTTCTTTAGCTGTTCACAGCTCTTCTGGCTCCCTTACTAGAATTCATTTAGTTTAATATGGTGGTGACTGGCGAGTCAATCACTCTGATGCTTTGCAGGTAGATAAGTTTGCTCTTGATGCTTTAAACGCGAGAATGCTGAAGGTTACATGCACAATCTTGAGCAGTGGATCCTGGTATGTGCCAACCATATAAAGAAATCTGAACCTTTAGGGGCAAAGCCCCCTCTTTCTGTTAATGAAAAACGTGTTGCAATCCAAAACAATATGTGTATGGTACCACCCAAGTCTGTCCAAATTGTGGAAAATGGTTGCATTAGTTAACCTATGAGTTTTACTATATTCGCTCTCAGTAACCGAGCATCTTTGTTGAACTGATATGACATAGAACCTCACCTGCTCTAATTCTGTGTGACTTATTGCACTGGCTCATTTTCCATTTGTCATTTCACCTGATACATTTTCCAAGCTTGGGTTCATCAGATATGGTATCCGTGAAGGCTGCACATGCTAGCATGGTCAGCCTTTTTTTTTGTAGCATAAGTTTGCTGTCCCTAATTCTGCATGAGTATCGAGCTTACCATATGAACGAGAAAAAAGCTGTACTTGCAATTTCACGAAAGGCTTGTTAGAATATGTGCCAACAATTGGTACCGTAGTTCGTAGCTTGAGTGATGCACTGCCCTGAACTAACCGTTGTCTTTCTATGCCATAAAAGTGTATTTAGAAATTACTGACTTATTAGTTTAGTTAATTACCTTCATTCCCATTGACGATGTTTTCCTTTCTCCTCATTTTGCTGATTTCCTTCCAATTTCATCCCATCAGTTGCTTCTTGATTTGCTGGCATTTCGTGAACAAGCTTTGCGACTTATTTTGGATTTGAGCAGCACGGTCATAACATTGCTGGTAAGAGATCTCTTGGTCTTGATTGAAATGGCATGCCGTTATTGTCTGCGTAATTGATTATGTTTGCATTATTTTCACAGCCACACCAGAACTCTTTAATTCTTCATTCTTTTATGGATCTGTTTTGTTCATTTGTCCGAGTGAATCTTTTCTCTGACAAGGTAACTATGTTCTTAATTTCATTATATTCGAAATATATTACTACTCTAAATAGTAGTTTTTCCACTTTTACCAAAATAATGTCCTACCTGAACTTCTGTTTGCAGATGCCAAGAAAGATGATCCTCCAGGTTTACAATATCTTGCACGTAATGCTAAAGGGTGGTCGTGATTGTGAGTTTTATCACCGTATGTGGCGTTACCTTTGGAAAATAAAAGTTGCTTCCACCTTTTAAAACCTTTTTTAATACTATGATTATATTGTTCATCGTAATTTGTGATTTCTATATGCCAGTTGCTGGTGTGTTATAAAATTGCATGAAAACAAATATAGATCATTCTTTATTAGTTAATCATGTGTGTTAATATTATTCTTGATTATTGCTAAAATGAAAATACAAATATGCGTGCATTGAAAACATAATTCAGAAATTGAAGGCCAACAGTCTGTAAGCCCGAGTATGCTGATTTTTAAGTATTGGCACTTATGTTATTGATAAATATAAATATATTTTCCCCTCGAACAATGCAGAAGAGCTACGCGTTATTTCATTAAGAAGGAAACAGTACAATGGGAGAGGAAGAACCCCCTCCCGGGTACAAGGAAAAGAAAAAAAAAAGAACAAAGGGCACACAAAGTGTGGGTGGGTGGGTGGGGTGGGGGGGGGGAGACCTTACAGTGGCGCCTGTACTAGCAAGTAACATGACCACTAACCACTATGACCATCCCGAACAACACTAGATACAAATATAGTTATCTTAATCGCTCTTCTAAGAATTTTATATTTAAACACTATCATTGTTGCATGTTTTCAATGTATTATTGTTTATATCTCGAGGAGTGGTACTGTACCACACATGACTGTAGCCTGTGCATTTACTACTCTCTCTAGGCCATAAAAAATGCCATTTCGCACAAGATTTAGCTAAACCTTATATAAAGTACAAACATCGATAACTTTTAATTGTTTAGTTTGGAAACATTTAAGTTATATGTGTAGAATCGTCTTGAAAAACACCTGCAGCATCTCATAAATCTGAAGGATTTTAAGGATATAGGGTGTTAGACCCTTGATCTCCGGCACGGAGACCAGTCACTAGTGTTGCCGAGCACACACTAGCGATGCCGACCATGAACTGTCGTTGGCTACCACACGCTATGGTTAGACGAAGAAGACGGGAGGGAGAACAGAGTACACACACAGCACAAGCACCAGCGTTGGCCGGAGCTCTGCAGAGGAGATGACAAACTGAACTCGCTCTCTTTCTGAGTTGCAGTGGCAAACTATATATACAATTCTACCCATCTAATCCTAGTACACGGGCATGTCAGTTGCCATGTTTGCTATAGTGACTAGATGTGACAAAGAGGTGACTTTGGCGTCTGCCCTATTTGTGGCTACTGAGCGGCGGTGAGCTATTTGGCGCGCCCATTAATACTATAATGCAACAAAGAGGGAGCCCTTTTTCGCGCCGTCTTCCCTCGCCAAGCGATTCATACAAGGGGAGCAGCAGGTTAGCTAACAATTCTTCCCATAATCCTGCTGCTAACCCTTCAATCCCCTCCATGCCGATCATCTTCTTCAGCTCCGTGAGTCGAAGACGGCCGAACGGCTTGGTGAGGACGTCGATGAGTTGCCGACCAGTTTCGACGAACTCGATGACAATCTGCCCTCCATCGATACAGTCCCTGAGGAAGTGGAACTTGACGTCAATGTGTTTGCTCCGGTCGTGGAGAACCGGATTCTTCGCGAGGGCGATGGCGGGCTGGTTGTCCACCATCAATGCTGGTGGGTGAGCTTCCACACCGGTTAGCTCGCCCAGCAGCCGGCGTAGCCACACAACTTGGCACGCCGCTGTGGCCGCCGCCACGTACTCTGCCTCGCACGTGGACAGTGCCACCACCTTCTGCTTCAGCGACAACCATGAGATAGGAGCTGATCCGAGGAAGACGAGCACGCTAGAGGTACTCCGCCGTCCGTCGATGTCTCCCGCCATGTCCGCATCGCTGAACACAGTGAGCTGTAGCCTACTTCCATCGGTCTTGGGGAAAACGATCCCCTGATCCACCGTCCCTTTGACGTAGCGCAGTAGCCGCTTCACCGCAGCCCAGTGATTCTCTCGAGGATCCTCCATGAAGCGGCTGACGTAGCCCACGGCGAACGCAATGTCTGGCCTCGTGTGGACTAGGTAGCGCAGACCCCCGACGATGCTCCGGAAGAGTGTTGCATCTACCTTCGCCGCGGTACTGGCCTTTGTCAGCTTCAGCCGCTCCTCCATTGGAGTTACGCACGGCTTTCACTCAATCGTGCCGCTCCGCTCCAACAGCTTCGAGGCGTACGCGCTCTGACTGAGCGTGAGCGTCTCCTTCCCCTGTCTCACCTCGATACCGAGGTAGTAGGAGAGCGCGCCGAGATCGCTCATTCGAAAACGAGCCGCCATCTCGCGCTTGAAGTCATCAATGTTCTCCAGCGCGCTAGCGTCGGTGACGATCAAGTCATCCACATACATCGCCGACGATGAGCTCCTCCTTCCTCGCCGCCGCTGCGTGTAGCGCGCGTGCTTTCGATTCTGCACCTCGTGAACCCAAGCTCGCCAAATAGGTGCCAAGCATAGCCCGTAGATGGCCGGACGCAGACGCGCCGTGCCTCCCATGCCGTGCCCCTCCGGGCATCGTGCCTGGTCTTCGGCCCAAGCACGACCCAATGGGCCGAAATCCGTGCAGGCTCTTGAAGCTTGTAAGCATGGCTAAATCATGGGCCGTACAAATTTACAGCCCATAGCCCGGTGGCATTAAAACACCTCAAACTGAACACAGTCACAAACACAATCACATTTCACAATTTATTCACATCTCAAACTGATCATAGTCACAAACACAATCACATTTCATGATCACAATCACAAACACAATCACATTTCATAATTCATTCACATCTCAAACTGATCACAGTCACAACTCACAATCACAATTACATTTCACAATTCATTCACATCTCAAGGACTCAAACTGATCACAGTCACAGTCTCACAGATTCTCAATTCTATGTTTCTAACAAAAGCCACCAAAGGAGACAAGAGAATTAAAATAACTGAGTTGTTTGTGCAATCTTTGCATTATTAAAAAACTTTTCTAGATAAAACTCACCCTTGTGAGAAACCCTAGAAAGAAAAAAAGAGTACATCACAGCTCTTAATAAGTCTTCCATCATTGTTCAAAGGTCCCAAGTCACACTATCACAGATGACAGATACAAAATGGAGATAACAGATTAATCACCAGGAGCCCTACCAGCCCCAGCCTGAAAGGTCCTAATGGTTAGAGGGGGATGAATAGCCTAATAAAAATTTCTACAACACTTAACAAACCGGTTAGACAATTATGAGGCGAAGCAAGTTTTGCGCTAGCCTACTAAAAATGCAAGCCACATACCATAATTTTAGTTTCTATTGTCTCTAACCACACAATAGCTATGGCACTACACTAAGTTAATGTGCTCTCAAAGACTAACTAAAGAGCCACACTAACCAAACTAACAAGCTCTCACAACTAGCTACACTAAAGAGCTTGATAACTAGTTTACAGTAATGTAAAGAGAGAGAGCAAGATAATTATATCGCCATGTCGAGGAGTGAACCAATCAATCACAAGAATCAATATCAATGAAGACCAATCACCTCGGAATCAAATGATGAACACAATGATTTTTTACCGAGGTTCACTTGCTTACCGGCATGCTACTCCTCGTTGTGGCAATTCACTCACTTGGAGGTTCACGCGCTAATGGTATCACACGCCAAACCCTCAATAGGGTGCCGCACAACCAACACAAGATGAGGATCACATAAGCCACGAGCAATCCACTAGAGTACCTTTTGGCTCTTCGCCGGGGACAGGTCAAGAACCCCTCACAATCACCACGATCGGAGCCGGAGACAATCACCAACCTTCGCTCGACGATCCTCGCTGCTCTAAGCCGTCTAGGTGGCGGCAACCACCAAGAGTAACAAGCGAATCCCGTAGCAAAACACGAACACCAAGTGCCTCTAGATGCAAACACTCAAGCAATGCACTTGTATTCTCTCACAATCTCACAAAGATGTTGAATCTATAATGAAGATGAGTGGGAGGGCTTTGGCTAAGCTCATAAGGTTGCTATGTCAATGCAAATGGCCAAGAGAGTGAGCTTGAGCCGGCCATGAGGCTTAAATAGAAGCCCCCACGAAATAGAGCCGTTGTACCCCTTCACTAGTTACAACGCGGGGTGACCGGATGCTCCGGTCATATTGACCGAGACGCCGACCTCGGCGTCCGGTCCGGCCACGCGACACGTGCCACGTGTCCCTCTATTCAAATGTCGATCGCTCGCCCGATCTCAACGGTCAAGTGATGACCGGACGCGGAGACTCAAAGTGACCGGATCTTGAACCCCAAATAACCGGTCGTTTCCAATAAGCATCCAAAGACGACTTTTCATGACTAGACACACCCAGCATCCGGTCACTTAACGTAATCATATGTCAGACTGATCGGACTCAGGCCCTGAACGTCCGGTCAGTTTTCGCGCCAGCGTCCGGTCAAGAGACCAAAACTGTGCGCCCTCTGCTGCCACTGACCAGACGCCGGTCCAACCGAGATCAGTGTCCGGTCACTTACAGTGACCTCCGTCTTTTCTGTCTAGGGCGCCTGTGGCACCGTCAAACTGTCCGCACTCTATGGGCGGACACTCCGTCAGTGAAGATCCTAACCCTTGCTTAAATGTGCCAACCACCAAGTGTATCATCCTTGTGCACATGTGTTAGCATATTTTCACAAACATCTTCAAGGGTGTTAGCACTCTACTAGATCCTAAATGCATAAGTAATGAGTTAGAGCATCTAGTGGCACTTTGATAACCGCATTTCGATATGAGTTTCACCCCTCTTAATAGTACGGCTATCGATCCTAAATGTGATCACACTCATTAAGTGTCTTGATCACCGAAACAAAATGGCTCCTACCATTTATACATTTGCCTTGAGCCTTTTGTTTTTCTCTTTCTTCTTTTCAAGTCCAAGCACTTGATCATCACCATGACATCACCATCATCATGTCATGATCTTCATTTGCTTCACCGCTTGGAATGTGCTACCTATTTCATGATCACTTGATAAACTAGGTTATCACTTAGGGTTTCATCAATTCACCAAAACAAAACTAGAGCTTTCATAGCCCTAGATGAACCAACCCCAAATTT